TGTAACTATGTGTGGTAACAGATGATAACTAGACTTACTGTGGTGATCATTTTAAAATACATACAAATATTGAATCATGTTGTACACCTGAAACTAATATAATGTTACATGTCAATTACACTTCAATAAAAAGAAGAAAACAAAATAAAATATTTACCTTAAAAAAAAAAAGAAAAAGAACATAGATGCCTGGATCCTAATACCAGTTCTTATTAGATCTCTCTTTTCCTAAATTTTCTCGTCTATCAATTGGGGTAACAGTACCTACTTCAAAGGGCTATTATAAGGATTAAAACCACTTGGAGGAAAGCCTGGCACACAGTAAATATATTAAACATATTGAAGGGAGATTTACAGTTCTGAGGAAGAATTGAGGATTTTTTTAATGATAGCACATGGTAACTAAAGAAGCAAGAAAGCACTTAAGAAAGATAAAAATTGTGGTATGGTATATGACTCCAGTGTGAACAGCATTTAAGTAGTCATAATAATGCAAAAGTGATTACTACTCTAATTGAAATTTTAAATAAATATATTAGAAAGATGTAGGGGTTCAGAGAATGTGGTAGAAAGCAAATCTTCATCTTCCATAGCAGGCAGTCAATTGATAATGCCTAAAGCTGAAAAATTAAGTTTAAAAGAGGCCATTGCAGTAATTTAGATGGGGAGAGGTTGTATTTTAGGATGGTTGTGATGGTAGAGGTTAAGAAAAGTTAAAGAATGAAAGAGAATTAAAGGGATATTTGGGCAATAAATTCAAGAGATATTTGCAAGATAAAAATCAAGAAGTCTTGCCAATGGACTAAAATGGGAAGATGAAGGAGAGGAAAGCATCAAAAGTGACTCCTAGCTTTCTAGCCTATATTACAGGTTGGATGATGTTGCCATTAACTGAGACAGAGGACACTAGAAGAAAACAAGTTTGGGGGTGGGGGAAGGGATCGAGATCCCCTGTTTTTGGACACCTGGACTTAAAGATGCTTCATTCCACCTAAATGGAGTTTTCAAGAAAACAGCAGAAATGCTGATTCAGAGCTCAGAAAAGTTATTTGGCCTGGATATATGTAACTGTGTGAGTCATCCACCAAAAGTGGTCATTGAAGGTCATGGACATGGTTGACATCACCTAGGAGGAAAACCAAAGAAAGGGAAGACAGAAGTCTAGGACTGAGCCCTCAGGGACTCCACATTTAATAGCCAAGTAAAGGAGGCTGAGCCTACAAAGGACAGAGAGCAGGAATAATCAGGAAGTTTATTCTAGGAATAACCTGAAGGAAAATCAGGAGAGTGTTCCATTACGGAAACCAAGTTCAATTTGGAACATACTGAATACGATGTGGCAGTTGTTTATACTAAAACATACTGGCACTACGAGCCTGGAGTCTGGGAAAGAGTGCAAGGCTCACCACACAAAGTGCCCCAACTGTAAGACCTTGATCTCATTAATTCCCCTTCTGACCACACCTCCACTTCCCCACTCTGAATTTGTCCCTCACATTCTGTGTGATGTTTTAATTCATTAATCCCCTCATGGACTCACTTGCCTTCCCCTTTTCTTTATTAATGCCCAGGAAGGCACACCCAGGGATTCAAGAACAGCAGTAATGAATTGGAGATAAAAGTATGGGCTCTGGTGTCAAATTCCAGGGTGAAAATCATGATCTGAGTGTGACCCTAGAAAGTCATATGTGCTTTCTAAGCCTTGGTTTTCTCATCTGTAAAGTAAAGGTGATGATAATTTAGGTCCCAATTTAGGATCAAATGAGGTACTGCAATGCCTGACACATTGAAAGCAAGCAATTAGTATCAATTATTTCCATTTTTATCCATGGTCCTAACTCACGCCAACATATTAGATAATTCCTATAAGTTTAATTTATACCTTTAGTTTTTTTCTCTATTCAATAAGAAGGCTTTATTGCCCCCCAGTATTTTTATGTTCCTTTAATGTCACAGTCCATCCAGTCACCCAAATCAGAAACCTGAAAGTGAAACTTGTTTCTGTTTCTTTACTTCTTCTGTCCAAGTCATAAAATTCTCACAATTCTTCCTCCTAAACAGGCTTTTCATTCATCTTCTCCTGCCTCTCCCTTCTTCCTTTGCCCCAGTTTAGAACCTGGATTTCTGCTTTAGCCTCCCAAGTGATCTTTCCCTCTAGAGAGTTTCCATATACCTCTTTCCTAGGATTTTTTCTAAAATGCAAATCTGATCTTGTTATTCCCTAGCTTAAAGCCTCAAAAAAGCTTAAAACAATAGGAGGCAAATACAGGCATGCAAGAACCTTCATTTTTTTATTTCTTCCTACTTTTTTAACCTCATCTCCTGCCACTGACCATACATATCATACACCTCAGGGATACTGAGATACATGTCATTCTCCAGTGTGCCTGCTCACTCACTCATGCCTCTGGGTCTGTTCTGCTGGTCCCTCTACCTATCCTGTCCTACAGTGTCTCCTCCTCTGTGACTTCTTCATTGATCTCCCTCCCTTCCACCAAGGGAGGGTTAATCCCATCTTCAGGTTCCACAGTCTCGATGAGAGCAGTTCTCTCAAAATATGTTAATAATTTGTTTCTATGTCTTCTTCTCTACTAGATTATGAGGCCCCTGAGGGAAAGCACCAGGGATGGATTCTTGTCCCTAACAAGTGTCTACTCACAGAAGTGCTCAATAAATGTTTGAAAAATGGTTGAACTCCCCACCAAAGAAGAGCTATCTTCCGACTTCTCACCTAGGACTCTCCTTCCTGGTGATTATGCTCTCTTAACTCAGTTTAGGGATTCAAAATCACAATAGTCTTTGGAGCACTCAAGGTGATTCCCATTTCCAAGTCCAACCTCTTGGCCAAGTCCTCGACATGCACATCCCTTTCTGCTATACCTCTCTACCTGAGTAGGCAGTTCATGCTCAGCATAACCAAGCTATACTCATCTTCTCCACACACTGCTCACCTTGACCCTAGGTCTTCCCTAGCCTATCCTATACCTGCTCCCACTCCACCAAGATCTAGCCCTGCAGGCAAGATCTAGACTTGCTGCCAGTTGTCAACCCTAATGATTTCTCTTACCCAGTTATCCACTCAACCTTTTTCAAAAGATTTCTTTCTTTTATCTATGTTTTTTACTGTTAGAATACTGATTTTGCTCAACTTCTCTGCTCCCCAGCCCAGGATTTCTTGATGGCTTAAATCATCTTTCTTTCTTCTTCCAACCTGAGAAAGAATGACTCTCCTCCCCTTAGATGGTCCTTCTCCCACTCTTACAACCTAGTTCTTGACCCCTTCCCAGGAGCTCAAGAGAGAGTCAGTTATTCCTCTCTTTATTTTTTTCCTCTCCACTTACAGACATATTCTCCTTATCCTAAAAAATAAAATTCTTTTAGCTCAGTCCTTTCTTCTGCCTTCCTCTGAAAGGAAAAGAGATGGAGATAAATTCTAGTTTCACCACTTCCTAAAGTGTAACTTTTTTGATCCTCAGTTTCTTTTTTTGTAAAAGGATACCAAACTAAGAGATAGTGTTCCCTCAAAGGACTGTTATGAAGAGTTAAGGTTAATGCTATCAAGTGCCTAGCACAGTGCACAGTACAGAACACAAAAAATCTGCTCTTTTATTGCTATTACACAGTAGACAATGAGTAAATATTATTGCCCTGACCCCTCTCACAGAGCATATAACAGTATGTACTTCGTTAAGGAAGACTAGAGTTAAAATTCATCCATAGGAAGCTTTTGCAGATTAATCTCAACTATTCTGTCCATACCCTTTTTGAGACCCCATTAATATATATACAGTCGTATGTTTTTCAAAAATGATATTCAGATAAGTGATTTCTACTTCAAATTAGACACTCCAACAACATGGTAATTACTCAAAAATATTTTTTAGAATTCCTCTTTAAGGAAGTTTTCTCAGAACATACACCTTTTGTGTCATAGATATTAGTGACAGAGTGAATGCTGGTCTTTTGGGGATGGTCACATGACAAATACTAGGTCTAATGGTGGCTAATAAAGTTATCTAACTTCCTTAGATGCATTTTTCCACACATACTGAGAATATTATATGTGTGTGATTTTTCCTTAATAGTGATAAATCATCATTTTTCTTACAAAGTTTGTGCTTTTTTGAGAAAGCCAAAAGTCATTTAAAGCTACCAGTGATGAATAAGGTGGCTTCAAAATATGCCAGATTTTATTGGGGGCAGGAGGAGAAAAAAAATATAACAATAAAACAAACAAAATGCAACAAAAGCAAAGTGAGATTGAACTATTAAGAAATAATTTTTTCTTTTATGACCCAGAAACTGGCTTTGAAGGTAATTCTAAAATGTTTCTGGACTAATAGCCTCCAAGGGTGCATATTTTGAGAGACAACGTTCTACATGTGTAAATTTGACTTAAAAATAGTTTTCTGTTTTACTCACAACTGGGATAAAGACGATCTCAGTTTATATCCAAGATTTCCTATGCTCAAAACAAAGAACATAGAAACACAAAGAAAAGTCTGCCAGGAAAGATCCTTTTTTAATGCTTGAGCCAATCTTCCAAAATTGCATATTTCAAATCAGTGTTTTTTCTACTTTTTTAAACAAATGTATCTTGACAAATACATTGTTGAGATGTCTCCTTTAACACAAAAATGACCGAGTCTACAAAAATTCTGATGTAAATATTTAACAGTTCAATGATAACAATACTTACTCTTAATTTGGATGATAAAATCAGGTATTTTCTTCGCTGTAGTATTCTATTTCGCGACCTTCTAAACTGATTTCACGTCCCGCTAATGGCTCGTGTCCCAGAGTAGATGCAAACGTTTAAATAGCCGGTCGCGGCTGCCACGAACCAGTTAGCTCTCGCCTAACGCACCCTGGCCTTGACCAGCCAGCTTCCCGCGGCTTTAGTAACCTAGCAACCAGGCAACGCAGGCCGACACTTCCGGAACCCTGGCCCGCCGTTGTCCAATCAGCTCTACAGATACCCCGCGGAGGCTGATGGGGCGCTGGAGACTGCGTGCCCGCTGGCGTCTGCACCATGGTGACGGGCTGCCGCGGGGCGTGGGTAGCCATGGCGGCTTGGTTCGCCTTCTCTATCGCGACTGCGACTGTATTCCTCCTGTTGGTCCTCTCTCGAGTTTCACAGGCTCAGGCCTTCTTCTTCCCCTTCCGGCAGCCGGAGACGTGCGGCCACAACGAGTACTTCGATATCTCCGCGCTCTCCTGTGTCCCGTGTGGGGCCAACCAGAGGCAGGATGCCCGAGGTGAGACGGTTCGGGGTGGGCCCTGACCAAAGTAATATTCTGGCTTTGAGGCTGCCAGTCCCCGGCATCGCTGAAACACCTTTTCGTTTGCGGAAAGAATGCTTCAGAACGGTTAGCCGCCCACGCCTGAGAGTGGGGTTTTCTTGGAGAACTCAGCTTGCACACAACAAATGAGATTAGGGAAAACCTGAGTCTGCTACCCCGTAGGCCGTCGCCATAATCAGTTTCTCGGCTCCAGTCCCCCAGTCCTCATCCGGAGGCTCTTTAGGGAGGTACCTGGAAAGTGGAAAGCTGACTACCGAAGTAAGGAAAAATGGAGAAATGATCCGAGGTGCAGAGGAGCAGGTGACAGGACGGCTTGGGGAGGGAATGCAGGTTAACGCTTGTAAACTTGTTATCTTGCTTTTCAAATCCCAGAAATGTAGAGCTGGAAGGGACCTTAACCATAATCAGGTCCAGTCTTCTCCTTTTACAGGCGAGGAAACGGAAGCCGAGATGAGGTCGTAATGTCTTCTTTGTCGCCTAAATTGGAGACTAGAAGAACTGCTGTCTCTTTGCCCTCAGTCTCGACCTGTGTATTCCCACTATATTATATGTCCGTAATATTATAGATTTCCTTAGGACTCAGCCCTTTTATTGTTGAATATTACTATTTGCCCTTAAAATCCCTTTAGATTAAAATTAACTTTTTTTCTTGAAACGTTCATCACTTGGTCCTAGTTCTCCTCACTGAAACTGCTCAGAATTAAGATACTTCCCATATTTTGAAGTCTCGGATTTTTTTTATCTCGATTTGGTCACCCATTGTATTAAATTGCTTCCATCTTCAAATCTGATGTATCCTTATTTAAATCATCGTATAGGGCAGATCAGGCTTCTCAGGTGAGGAAATATGAATGAGAAAGCATCTCACAGACTCTGAAGTGTAAGGTGTTAGTTTTATAGTTATGAACCCTGATATCCTACTACATGGATTCCTATGGGTGCTCTGTCCACTTAATGCCTTCTTAGAGAATGCTGTCCCTACCTATTCAGCAAGTTGGCTGATGATTGTCTTGTAATGTTTGCTGTCTTTCCAAAGGAAAATAGTTTTTTTTTAATCAAGGTTAACTTTCCTAATAGGGTTTTGCTTTGAAAGGTAAATATGCATTCATTGAATATATGCATATGGTTAGGTGAAACAGAAATGTAAAATTTCCCATAGCAGTTAATCAACAGTTTGATTATTAGTTTAATAGTTATAAGTTAATAGTTTATTTATTCTCACACTTAAAATGGTAACAGACAATATCCACTGTGCACGAGACACATTCTAAGACCTTTACATATAATAACTTATTTAATACTCAGTTAACCCCAAGAGGTAGATATTGTTGCCCCCATTTTACAGAATTAGAAGCCAAGGCACAGAGCAATTCAGTGCCTTGCTCAGGCTCCCAGGACTTAAGTAGCAAATCAAGGTTAGAACCTAGGCAGAACTGGCACCACTGTCTTGCTCTGGGCTACTGCTTCTCAATATCTTAAGAATTATTAAAGTTTTCTATCTCTGAGTTTTGCTTTTGTTTACCAAGGTCAAAATTGGCTCTTTTCTTTCTAGGAACTTCATGTGTGTGTCTACCAGGATTTCAGATGATCTCTAATAATGGAGGACCTAATATCATTTGTAAAAAGTGCCCAGAAAACATGGTATGGAGTGTTTATTTTTTTTAAAAAAATTACTGTAGAAAATAATAAATTAAATGTCTTTATTTTTAAACCACAATATAATGCTGTACTCTAATATTTTCCCACAGACTTTAAAATTGTTAAGTTAACTTTGTTTTTATTAGAGTAAATTTTGGAAGATCAATGAAATTTCGTAAACTTGGAAAAAACAGAAAGGTATTGCTTTTTAAATTTTTAAATTTTAAAATCTGGAATCCAAAAACATCACAAAGCTGTGAAAATTTGTGTGTCTTTATTTTTTCTCATAGAGTAACTGAGTTATAAAGGAGAATAGATGAATGATACATACATAGAGAAGTTTGGAATATGTGTATCCTGTGGTGCAGATTGAGCTCATCATCTTAGGCTTATTGTGTCAACAGTTTTATATAATTCATGTTCATAATGATATCTAAGGTGTAAGTAAGTTCATGAAATGCTAATTCATCATTAGATAGGTTAAATAATATCTGTGGCTGTTGCTGTTAATTTCATTATATCATAATTTTTGAAAAATTAGTAAATTAATATTAGCTACATGTGACAATTCTTAATGAACAGAAATATATCTTCCAGTCATTTTGGATAATTAAGAGTCTTAGTGTGACAGTTCTGACTTTTATAGTAATGTTTCTTCCCATCTGTATTAAAAAAACAGTTGAGTCTGGGAATTTAATATAGACTTAACAGCTATCCTAGTTTATGGCTGGTACTTAAACATTTGATGATCATTTTGATACTTCATATTTTTAGAAATATTGATCCTACCTGAATTATCAGTGATTATAAGCTGCTGATAGGAAATGGTACCAAAGCAGATTTATTTTTCAGTGATATTACTAAGCTATCATAATTTTTAAATAGTCCTATATGTATAAGTGTACTGATAAATATAGGAGCATTTCTCAATATAGCCAATCTTTTCAGCTAAAATTTGAAATAATCTATGGTATTATTTTGTTATTACCATTGTTCTCTGTTAATTTTGATTACATCCATGTTTGTAAGAAAATTACTGTATTTTTACCCCAGGTTTTTCCTAAACCATATAATATTATAAGCCCAAATTTGGATGATACCATATTTTATCAGAAACCTTTACTAGTACAAACTATTAATGGATGGAAGGAAATATCCTTATAATTTAAACAACTTGAAGTATTTTTGAACCATAAAATTCACCCATTCTGAATCATAACTTAATTTTTAAAAGCTAATATATTTGAATTTTTAAAAATTAGAATAATTATTTTAGGACAAGTAAGACTAGACTGTTAGTTGGCTATCTGTTGATTAAATCCTGTTGAATTTTATTGTTTTATGTTTGTAAATGGAAAAACTAAATGACAGTATTAATTATGAAAGAACTCATTTGAACTGGAAATCATGAAGAAGAAAGAACTATTGCCAAAAATTAATAATAGTCAATACATAGTAATAATGTATAGGCTCATTTTTTAATATAAGCACAAATTGGCGATCCAGGAAATTTTTATGCAGTTCATATGTATATAATTTATTTGAATATTGACTGCAAGTTATATACTGTTGTGGCTTTTTGAACTACATGACTAGTTAAGAAGAAGAAAGTTAATTAAGAAAGGGAAAATAATTTTTTTCTTTTTTTCTTTTTTTTTTAAGAAAGGTGTTACTGAGGATGGCTGGAACTGTATTTCTTGCCCTGCTGGTTTAACTGCAGAAGGAAAATGCCACTGTCCCACTGGCCATATTTTAGGTAAGAAGTAGATTCTTTGCAAAATAATAGTAATGAATCTTCATTTGTGTTTGTTTTTGATAAAGACATTAATTGAAATAGCTTGGTGATTTCTTAATAGAATTTTTTTGTATTACTGTTGTCCAAAATTCAGTGATGTTTAATACAGCAGCAGGAATTGGGAAGAGAATAAAAAGCCCTACCTGATCTAAAAAAACAATTGTTAATACTGTAGAATTAGATAGATACTTCCTT